GGGGAGTCCTGCATTATTTGTAAAATAACAGTTTTTTTTTGATTTTATTATTTATAATATCGAAATTGAAAAAAAAAAATTAATGTTTGACCTTTTTCGAGAACTGAAGACAACTGAAAACAATCTTAGTATACCATTCCCAGCACTAATCAATAGCTCGCAGAGGGATTGATGTTTTCTTATCTATATAACAGATATGAATACAGTCAAGATCATTAGAAATGATAAAAAACTAAGACAGTTTGCACAGTTTTTGTGGAGCTACAATTTCAGAAAAACTACTGGGATGCTCCGACAAGCCGGAAAGCAATTTTTTCCGGAATGTTTATGAAATTCAGAGAATTTCCTTCGATATGTGTAACAACTTTCAAAAAATCGCATATTTTGGATTTTGCCCAATAATGCGCTTTTGGCAATGAGATCCTGAAAACTGAAACTTACAAATCTCCGGTGCTATAAATATTTAGCCATTTTAGACCAGCGCCAATTTTTGGTACAGCGATCTCGTGAAACACACGACCATCAAACATTAACTCAGCAAGTTCGTAAAAAAGGGTGAAATTTTGTGCTGGTACGAAGTACCAATCGGCAGTTCCCCAAACACTAGCCATTGCGAGCACTCCAAAACCATCAACGACCTGTTCAAAAATTAGCACAAAAGGGTTTATAAGTATGAAAGCATACAGTCATGTAAATGGGAAGAAAAAAATACGACTTTTTTTTAGCACAAATATATATAATTTCTTTTAGCAAATTTAACGATTTAGTTTAGTATCTCCAATAAATTTTACAGTTTCTGTACTGATAGTTAATTTTTAGCGCTAGAATGCTAATTATCGAATAGAAAATCGCTTTTAACTTGAATTTTGTTAACGAGCAGGAAAGTATTTTTTAAACTGAAGGCATTTTTTTCTCAAAAAAAAACTCAGCAGCATTACTGCTCGATTTCACCAATCTTCAAATTGTATAGGATTGATGATTCTAAAACAAATTAGGTATTTTATGAAACAAATTTTTGAATAAGAAATTAAGAACAGGATATTCGATATGATAAAACTTTATAGCACTAATGTATTCTTGTAAAACGAATTGTCAGTGTCTCATCCGTTAACTGTAAACACAGACAGCGCAGGTCGGTTCTGGCAGGAGTGGAAAAAATCAGAACAAGTCTTGCCGTCCGAACTATTGCATCATGTATCACCGTAAATCCCTATCACAACAAATTTCTGAAACTCACTTCCTCAGTATACCTTTGCCACGCTCGAGTTAGTTTCGAATCGGGTCCATCAGCAATACTTTTCCTCAACGAAGCAATAGTGGTATTGATAGCCGCTGCACCAAATTCCGATCCCCACCAAATATTTTTTGGATTATGGCTTACTCCACGAAGCCGAAAACGATCCAGTTCGACCCAGTTCCAAACATTATAAATCGCGTCGTCCGCAATTACAATAAATCTAAGCGAATATTTAACAGTTATGAATGATTCCCGACAGCTGAAATGTTGCTACAACCTGGACTGGTAGCAACAAATCCTGATGAGTTTTTTTGGTTTTATTCATCTTTTTATCAAGATGTTTTAACAGTAAACGCATAAAAAATCCGAAGACAATTTCAGAACAGCAAAGAACAAAAATCTGTTTGTCGTTAAAATAAATTAATTTATCTTGACAATGTTATTTTTCCAGCGATCAAAGATTACATTTAACTTAAATTACATTACATTACGTGTAGGATTACATTTAATAGCACTGCACGTTTTGCTTCTGGTTACTTTCAGGATAAAGTCGCAAATTTCACTAACCCATCGATGTATTGCAGTCTCAGTTCGATTGCTTTTGAAGTGCAGTAGTAGGCGAAATAACCTTCGTGCATTTCACTTTCATACAAATGAATATAGCTCAACGGCTTAATCGGCATGAACCCACTGAAATATTTCGAAGTAAGCTAACAATATATCATCAAATCACGTTCTGTTACGCATTGTCCAGAAAACTTTATCAAAATTACTGGATTTTACAGTTTTGCATTTTAAATGTTGACACTGTTCTATTATTTAATAAACGCTAACCTATTATTCCGAAAAACGAGTTGTGGATAGAAAGGTCCACAAAAAATGATGTGAGCAAAGTTGCCAGCATATAATCGCTGCAGTACTGATACTGATGAGATAAACTGTAACATGAAAGAGTCATGAATTACTGCGGCTTTCGTCTAGGTACATTTTATGTCGGAAAACTTAATTGAGCCGGTCGTTCGGGAAATAAGAGAGTGAACAGATGACAAAACGAAATATTAAATAATATTCGCAAAATTTTTCACACACAAGAAAATGAAAGAAACGCTTGTATGATTTGATGAAACAGTGTAGATGTAGAAAGTCCCACAGAAGATGAGTAGAGAAGTTATCAGTGGCGCGAAGAAATGGGGTAATGAAACAACAACTTATTGTGGTGTCAAAGTGTGTGTGAAAAAATTGTCTACTTATAGCGTATCTGTAAAACTACAGTTCAATTTCCCTCCTCTTATTAATTCTTAACACTTCGAACTAGCTCAGTAATTTCTAGCAGTTCCACCAAATTCTAAATAATTCTGTATTTCTTACGTTCTCACTCACTAACTACCTTGCCCTCCTTTTCCCTCCATTAATTTTCCCCGTATAAACCCCTTCCTAAACCCAGGTTCTTAGTTTACGGAATCAACAAGCGCCATTCATTCGTCCGCTACGTTCTGCCACTACTAACGCTACTAGCGTCTCGCTTCACTCGTCGTTTTATTTGAAGCGAAGCCCTTTTTGGAAGAATAAAGTGCTGGTGTTCTTCCCTGTCTTCTGCTGCTGCAGTCAAGGACCAGTTGAGGACTTAACATGTCAATTAACTAAAGACGTAAATGCCTGAAAACAGGAACAAACAAAAAAATGCGTTTTTGCGGTAACTTGCGCTTTTGCGGTAATTTTTTTGCTGCTGTGGACACGCGATATTTGAAAATTTTTCTACCTGATAGTTGCTCGTTATAATTAATGCTTTGTTTCGCAAGCTTTCTGACATGCCTGTTGGCACTGGATGTTTCTGTTTGCAGTGGAGAGTCTCTAATTTACTTCCATCATCCAGAGCGTTATTACACCATTCAAACAAATCATTGACGCTATCGAACTGATCCTATAAACAACATAAATTTTATTCGAATTCTAGTTTTATGCCTTCGAGAAAACTTTATCATCTTCCATCACAAATTCAGATTTTTTACCTGTATTGCATCGGTGATGATATTGAAAGCCAGAAAAGCTCTCCTGCAGTTTGGCCAATCGTATTCTGCTTCGATTTGCTTCATGCTTTCGATTTTCGGAAAACGATATCCTATACTGTGTAAATCACTGATCCAAGCCTAAAATTCATCTCATTAAAAAGAAGCTGCAGAATGAATGGGAAAAGCTGGATCAGAACCTGCTCTCAAATAGAATTATATTGCAATGCTTCATTTTTTGAACAATCCAAATGGCTTGGTTCTCGAAGATTTCCGATAATATTACCAGTATATAATTTTGCTCTTTAATTGGCGCTTATAATTGGGCTTAGTTCTGAAAAATATGTTAGCCTCCAATCAAAGTCAAAAGCCCTTTTTGAATTTGCTCTCAGTGAGGGGTGGAGGCACCCGGGAAATAGCCCGAATGGCTACAAATGTCAACAGCATTCACACGCTGGCAGATCGATCGGTGACAGCTAGCGTCCAATGTCAAATAAATACCTAAGCTTGAGCAGTAAAATTCGAAATGAAATTTGGAATTTTTAGGGGAATCTGAATTAAATCCTTGTAGTGATCTTTAGCAAAAAGATCATTTTCCAAACACGTCCAACTGACAACATAACTTGAAAAAGCTGGTCCAGGCTAGATCACGAAATACTATGCCCTTGATTAGTTGCTCAATTGAAAATTCAGCCAAGTCAAATTTCCATCCGGATTTTCTCTTTAATGTGAAGTGAAATCACACAGTGGTTTCTGAGGGTAAAAATTGTTAATAGAAACCACCTGCTGATAAGGCAGCCGATGGCTCCCTCTTTCGAGAAAATCTATTCACTCCTAAAGTTTAAGTGAAAGCGGGGTGAGGGGAAGGGGAAAAGCATGTGTGATTGATTCATGCGATTCTTAAGTAAAGTAATTAAAATTGTGGCTTAGAGTGGGAATAAGCAGCTCAGCTGCTTCTTAACGTATACGGTGATAATAAGAGTCCTATAAAACCATTCCTTAAAGCATATTGTTAAAATCAAAAATTCTTTCATTTTCCAGCATATTTTGGCAGATGAGATGCTGATCTAGCAAATCTGCGTCACTGCATCTCAGGTAACATCACTACTGTACAACAGCGATCTAAATAGTTTCACTAACAAGAAACTCTAATGTTCTCAACTAGTTCGATAATGCATTCGAAAAATTTCTTTAAAAAAGCCAATTTGTAATATTTTTACCATACTTCAGCCAGACTGACTTCTTCCGTGCCCCAGAATTGATGTTGTGCCAACAACTGGGTTAGTTCGATAAGGCATGATTCGATTGCAGTGCTGCTACAATTCCATTTGGCCAATAACTCAATCAATTGTTCAGAATCACTGTACAATTTTTCTTCTTCCTAAATTCTTACTGAAAATTCCTCAAAAGGCGCCAAATTAAAACGCATTTGTTTGAGAGTGTGTAGAATTTCTGTAAAACAAGAACATTGTTTGTCTGAAGTCATAACTCTTCTGGAAGTAAAAAAGGTAACCTTGAAATCTGCTAAGTAGTTGTGGGGATTACGCCTCTGAATTGCATTTGCAGGATAAAAACCAATTGTTCCACCAACAAGATGTAGTAATCGCTGCGCAAAATAACCTAAATCATTTCGAAAATCAAACTTGCTTACGGCGTGAAAATACAGAATCGGCGCACAACTGTTCTTAATAGATTGTAATAAAAGCTTTAAGTTCAATCATTATGAAATTCTGCCTCATAATTTTTCGCATTCAATAACTTCAATGGATTTTCCAGTCCAAGCCACACAGTCGAACTTCTACGACTTCAACAGTTATTAAGATCTCATTGCTGGTAATCGATAAATACAGTAACATTATCATAGCACAATAATTATCAAAAAAAATTTGTTGAGAATGTAACAACAAACTGACCTCGCCAGATGTCAGTGACACGGAAAGTAACCGTTACCGGAAGCCATAAAGTGAAGAATGCATCGCGATGGAACAATGTATTTTGGCTGTTAAATGGACTGTATACACCTAAATTCGATTAGATTTGTAAAAACTTAAATAGCATTTAATTTTCAAAATTACTGTGAAATCAGTGAAAATGAAAAGCAGGCAACTTATCACTGTTGTCATTCAAGAAAGTAAAATCCGATGGGCAAGGCATGTTACTTATCTTGCGGAAAATTCGCCGATGTCGTCTGTCAGTGAATAGTACCTCAAAAAGGAAGACAGAAAATCCGAAGAAACAGGTAGTGGCTAACAACTTGCAATATCTAGTTTAGGACAAAAAGGCACGGACAGAAGTGCGTTAAATGTGCAACTGCATATTGTCAGCGCAATTCATTTTATTGTAGCCATATTAGAGCCTTTTTTTTTGAAATGCTTGTGCGCTGCCTTTTATCTAATCGCTTTCAGTATACGCATATACAGAAA